AGAATAATAGAATGGATAAAAAAGCAAGACCCATCTATATGCTGCTTACAAGAGACTCACCTCAAACCCAAAGACTATAGGAACAAAGAAAGACTGAAGGAACAAAACAGCAGCAGAATCATAGAACCTAAGAATGGACTAACAGTTACCAAAGGGAAAGGAACTGGGGAGAAAGGGAGGGAAGGGAGGGATAAGGGTGGGGAAAAAGAAAGGGGACATTACGATTAGCATGTATAATGTAGGGGGGCACCTGGAGGGCTGTGTGGCACGGAGAAGACAAGAAGTGATTCTACAGGATCTTACTACGCTGATGGACAGTACTGAAATGGGGTTTGTGAGGGGGACTTCGTGAAGGGGGGACCCTAGTAAACATGATATTCTTCATGTAATTGTAGATTAATGACAACAAAATTAATTAATTAATTTAAAAAAGAAAAAGACAAGATATCTTTCTGCCTTTGCAGTATCTTTAGTGGATTGCCTGAGATTCATATCACAGTCTGGCTTAATGCTTATTAAAATAAAACTTTTCTACATTTGTGGAGAGTGTTCCTAGGTTGACAGAAGATTTCATTTTAATTAAATTAATTTCCCAACAAAGATCAAAACTTCATTTTGTTCTTCTTTTTCCTTAATGCAGTGGACACACAATAATGTAGACAATTACTCACCAATATGGGAAATATCTTTCACAGTTATGATCTTGCTGCATCAACTATTTGGCATATAATTGAATACACAGAATGGAATGCTTATTAATGACAAGGTCAACATAGTATTTTATAATTATGCTTTTTCTATCATTTATGTGAGTACTGATTATATGCCAAAACTGAGCTAAATGTCTTGGATACATTATTTGTGTCATCTTTGCTATGACATTATTTAGCTATTACCACTATTTTCCTGAGAAGAATGCCATGGCTCTAAATGTATAAATAATTTATTCAGGTTCTATTCCTAGAAAGTAGTAGAGAAATGGACCAGTCTGACTCCGAAGCCTGTCTTCTTCATTGCTAGATGATCCTGCCTCACTTGTTACGAAGGAAACCACAGTACACCATGCCGGCACTGTTTCAGCTGGGTTCCTAACTACTGGGCTTGCTTGCAGATGTAGAGGGAATTTATACATCCTCGCCACCCCTTCTCTGTTGTTAAGGTAGCGTGGCAGAGTGGAAGTTTCTCTTACTGCACTGACTTAAAAGCTATATAATCTTGAAAATGTTACTGAACATGTTTTATATTATGTTACCTTATCTGGAAGCAATGCCTAACAACAATTTAACTATGACTATACAGGTGGAGTCTTAAGGCTATACTAATATTAATGTGTGTGACCATTTTTGAAAATTAAAATCAACAGACAAATTTGCAGAAATGACCTTACTCAACAATATGTCTCTCAGGAATTAGGACAGTGTCTGGCATAATAGGTAATCAAAATAAAATCAAGTGAAAGAACTAACCAAAAAAATCTAAGGCATTATCTCTCACATATTGCTATAAACAATGAAGATGGCATAGATTTAACACATTTTCACATGTTTAAGATGGAATTTTTTTCTGTTCTGTCAAATTCTCCCATGACATTATTATCAAGTCAAGTAAATGCTGAATGCCAAAGCCATTTACCCTCACACTCAACTTTGGACACTGAGAATAGAAACCACAACTTTCGGCTGCATAAAATGACTTTGCCACTCTCTTCTCTCCTCCCCCAATCCTAATCAAGTTCCCATTTTGAAGGACCACTATTAAATAAAATTTCCAATTCTCAGTAACTTTGATCTTGCTTTTCTCCCTCTGAGGCCCACCAAGGCTCTCCTGAGGTGGTGGTCTCTCTTACTTAGGTAAGCAATCAACTGGGCTTGGTCTCAGACTGTGTTGGGGACATTTGAGAATGTAACTTTCAACAAAACCTACAACTTTCCTAAGATCTTTAGGATTTTGGAAACTGCAAAGCTCTATATAAATATATTTCTTGACATAATACTCATGATATTATCAATATAATTGGTATTATGAAAATATACATTCCTATTGTATTTCTTTCATAAACTATATTTTCAATTTCTGATTAATGATGGTAGACAAGACATCTCTATTATGTGCACTTGTGATACAAATGGTTCAAATCCATCAACTCACATTTTTTAAATTATAAATTAAGATTTTAGCCCCTAAATAGGAATTCAAAATAGCATTTTTATTTTTACTTTTTCATTAATTTCTTTCCATATATAGAAATTTCCAGAGTTATTCTTTCAAGAAAAATAGTTAAATGAAACTCCATTAATAATGTGGATGTGTAGTCTTACCTTTTCCAGTTTTGAAAGAGCAAGAGAGTAACAATCTTTGGCTCTGAATTGCATGAATCTCATGTTGGCTGGGTGAGTAAGCTCTGTGATTATACTGAGACTGGAAAACAACCTGCATATCAAAAGACAAAAACATCTGCATTACACTACCAATATGGAATTTTTTATAACATATTTGTGAGTGAGTTTTTCCTAGCCTTTGGCATAAAACCACATGCAATTATAACACCAGGCAGTGCCACAAAACTTGTTCTGTACAATGCAAGAAATATAAACACTACTTTCCAAAGAGTATTTTAATCAACATTTTATCAGTAGAAAAAAAAATTAGTAATTTGGTTTTTATTAGACATCTTCTCTCTAAAATTATGAAACAACATAAAGAGAAACTGACTTAAGAAGTCATAATGTTACCTTGTGCATAATATTGAAATGAAAATTTATGAGTATGCTGTGTGGCAAAAATTTCACATGATAAGCTTGTTGTCCATAATGTGAGCTTTTTGATATCCTATGGCTTCCTGTTCTCACAGTGTGCAATTTTAATGTCAAATTTTGTTACAATGGACTTGTGAGAAGAGGAAAGATTTTAATTGAAATAATGTTTCATTGTAATGAATTCAGACCAATGCTCAATTGACAGTGTTGTTCCAATTCTCCGAAAGGATCCTGAGAATTTTCACAGGTCCCACAGCTTTGCATTAGCTTTCCTATTCACCTCCCTTTCAAAAACATGCACACACACAC